AATTTCCACCTTGCTCTTGACACTTATCTGATACTTCCCTGAATTGTAGTTTCATTTGTATAGGTCTTATCTATTCAACCAGATTGTAAGTACTTTAAAAGAGTGCTTGTGTTTAAAGAATCTGTGTGCCCTATGGCATTTAAATACCTCTAGTAAATTTTTGCTTAATGATAATTGTTTCAGCTCCAAAGAGACTCATGTGGTCCTGCAGCCTTGGTTTGATCATTTCCCTAAAATGTTTAAGTGAACCTGCATTCTGATATATGAGGCTGCTACAAAAATGAAATAAGCTTGTTTTTACTACTTCTCCCTTCTTAGATCATGGCTCTCAGAGCTATCAAACAGAACTTGTTCAATTATTTAGCATTAACTTTTAAATATATTGTTTTGCCTTTCATCTGTTGTATGGTACAATTTTACCTTCTCTGTGGACACTTGCCTTTCTTCTAGTCCACATTTCTCCCTAAACAATGCATTGAGCCATGACATCAGTTGTCATTAAAAGGTTCTTTACAAATGAACAAAATTATTTACTTATTATTACTGAGTAATTATGTTGATTAGTGATTTGTTTTATTCTATCCTCAAGTATAAGGGATATGTATGAAATATTTATTATTATCAAATATAAATATAAAGGCATGTCGTTAAAATTATTGGCACATTTTACCATTACACTGTTGTGACTTCATTGGTAAGAAAATACAGAGGGAATGTTTTAGTGCTTTTCCAGGCAATCATATAAACAGAAGATAAACTTCCTTCTTTTTAATCAACATCTGCTAAAAACCTATCTTTGATTTCTAATGTCTATATTTACTTCAATATATATCCTCCAGGTATCTAATATTCTTATTTATAGTCCCGACAATTTTGCTAAATTAAGAATAAATAATTTAGTTTTGAGCCTACATTTCACAAATGCAATGCAGGCATAGCTATTAGGTCGTCATAAAATAGCAGATTTTTGCGCTTTCTGAGTAAATCTTTAAAATTATGTAAATGAAATTCTTGGACATATCAATATATAATATGGGCATCTAACAGAAGGATTTATTTTAGAAAATCACTATACAAAGATACATTATTAACTTTATATAAAGAACAAGGGTCACGTGCTTGAGGTTGATAGTCTCATCAGAAACCTAAAATAGACTCCTTTCTTCTAAGAAATGTGGTTCAAATGATATACAGAAAGTATGTTAGCATGTTTAAACCCAGTTATGGTCAAAACAGTTGGTGTCATTTTATAATTACATAGAATCATGTTTCCATTTTCTTCCTGTTAAAATCATCAGGAGTTGGATTAGTAATGAGGGGGAAAAAAGATACAACAGTTATTGTGGAAAGAGATTAGTGAAGCTATTTTTAAAATTACATCATCATCATCATCATCATCATCATCGTCATCACACACCAGAGAGATGAAAAATTACATCGTTATTGGCACCGTATGTGAAAATAAACTAGTCAATCCAGCCAAATTGCCAAATTTAGGAATGACTAGAAATAGGGCAAAATGACTTACGGTTTAAGATGAGATTGTTAATAGGTTTAAGATCGGTGAGAATAGGTACAGACTCTTGTGTTGTCCATGCAATATCTTATTTTCTACTCCCAAGTGACAAAAAGAAGCTAATTTTGTCATGTGAGATATTTTAGAACAGTATTTAGTTTTTTGACCCATATTTTAAGCTTCAAGGTAGAAATCAATCTTAGAAATGAAACCGAGAAAGTCACCTGAGGTGAAAGTTAGCTGGAGTCTCTATTTTAGATTCTGCCCCAGAGGTTTAGTGTTTTTAGTTTAGACATTAAAAACTTGGCTAACGCACCATGGGAGCTTGCAACATTATTGTTCCTGCTATGACAAAATGTCTAGCCATTCTGCCTGCAGCTTATATCCTCTTCTGAAAAACAGCTGGTCTCACTAGAGATTAACAAAAGACAAAATCAGAGTTTCAACTAAATAAACCAAAGCCTTTTTCTATTTCTGAATTTAAACAAAAACAAAAACATCGAATATATTACATTAGAAAACAGGGAATCTATTAACTAAATCAGAGAGAAGAGGGAAGTACATCAACTTCTGGTTTGATTTATATTTCTGTTAGTGTATCTGCCAAGGATAGTAGGTGGTAAAAAAAGTAGCTTCCCTTTGGAGGTTTCAAATCACTTTAAAAATAGTAACTGACAAATCATAATTTACTGATGGTAACAAAATAAACTTAGGCGAGCCATTAGAACGTGCTGTGCATTGATCCATTGATCTGTTACAGACAGGGGTGATATCTGCAGTGAAAGTACAAGGACATTTGAGCTATATCTCTCTACTTACAGTCTACTCGTACTAGTTGGATTCAAAGTCAGATTTAGCTTTCATGTATATATAAATTTTGTATATAAAACTACGACTTTACAAAAGTGTTGTTACTAATGGTAACAAAGTATAAAAGTTTAAAGGTGATTTTCTTTTGATAATAAATTAAAGCACAATAATTTATCCCTCCAAAATATGACTTTAATGCTTCTACTAAGTATTCTTTTCCCAATGATGTAGCTTAAGTGAGCTGAGAGAGAATTTGGCAAGACATTTTTTAAACGTTCAATAAAAGTCTTTGGCAAATAATAGTTTGCTCTTTGGTAGGTGAGGTTTATAAGCACTTATTTTTTTATGTCTTTTGTTTGCTTTGCATTACTTACTATATGTATTTGGAACTTTTTCCCTCCCTCTTTTATTAATTTATTTCTGGTTAAAATATAATTTACATTTAGTGAGCTTAGCTCTTAAGTGTAACTTTCAATCAACTTTTAACAAAAGCATATTAAGACACAGAATGTTTACATTACATGAAAAACCATCTCTTATGCCCTTTCTTCCAACCAGAAGCAACAACTGATCTGATTTCTATTAACATAAATTAGTTTTTCATAATCTTGAATTTCAAATTAATGGAATCATGCAGTCTATCCTCTTTGGCTGACTGGTTCCTTTTATTCTGCATATTTTAGAGATGCATCCTGTCATTTCAAGTATTCATAGTTTGTTCCTTTTTTATTACTGGGTAGTTGTATAACAGTGTGTTCATCCATTTCCTCTTGATGAATATTAAAATTATTTTTCAGGGTTTTCTTGTTGTTTTGCTATTTGAAGAAAGTTGCTATGAATACTCTTTTCAAGGCTCTTGAGGAAATATTTTTATTTACTTTAAATAAACATCTCAGAGAAGAACTGCTGGATCAAGAATGATATGGGTAAATAAATACCATTTTTTTCCCAAAGGAGTTATACATATTTATATTTTTCCCAACAATATATGAGTTTGGACGGTTCCACATCCTCTCCAACTTTTAATGTTTTCACTCTTCTCTTATTTATTTTTATATCATGATGAATTTAGTTTTTATTTTACAGATGACTGATATAAAGCACTTTTTCATGTTCTTATCAGACCTTTAAATATATATTTTTTTCTGAAGTTTTAGTTCAAATACTTTGCTCATCTTCTATTGGGTTAACTTTTTTAATATGGGTTTGTAAGAGTTCTTTATATGAATAAAAGCCTTTACCAGATATATATATTACAGAGTTTTTCTCCCAATCTGTCTTAACTATTTATGTTTCTAATCACATCTTTTGTCATGCATTGTATCAAATTTTCTTTTGTTTTATGGCTCTTGCTTTCTGGTTCTAAGAAATATTGGACCTACCCACAGCCGCAAAGATATTCGGTTTTCTTCTAGTATCTTGTAGTTTTACATTAGTATGTTATCAAACATATTCATTTGTGCATAATATAAGGTCTTTACCTCCTAGCCATTACATTAATGCTAACTGCATTCCCTATGCCATGCTCCCCATCCTTGTGACCATCTATCAACTAATAATTTGTACTTCTTTAACCCTTCACACCTTTCTTCCAGCCCCTCAATCCCCTCTCCTCTTGCATCACCGAATTATCCCCTATATTTGAGTTTGTTTTTGATTAGTTTGTTCTTTTCGTTCCTTAGATTCCGCATATAAGTGAAATAATATGGTATTTATCTTTGTCTGACTTAATTCATTCAGTATAACAACCTGTAGGTCCATCCATGTCATTGCAAATGGTAGGATTTCATTTTCTCAATGGCCAAGTAATATTCCAGTGTATATATGAACCATAACTTCTTTATCCAGTCGTCTGTTGATGGGCATTTAGGTTGCTTCCTTATCTTGGCTATTGTAAATTGTGCTGCCATGAATATTGGAGTGCATAGATCTTTATGAATTATTGTTTTGGTTTTCTTTGGATAAATACCCAGAAGTATAATTGCTGGGTCAAAGGCATATCCATTTTTAAATTTTTGAGAAACCTCCAGACTGTTTTCCATAGTGGATATACCAATTTGCAATCCAACCAACGATGTGTAAGGGTTCTCTTTTCTCTGCATCCTCGCCAACACTTGTGGTTCTTTGATTTATTGATGATAGCCATTCTGACAGGTGTCAGATATCTCATTGTGGTTTTAATTTGCATTTCTCAGATGATTAGTGACCTTGAGCATCTTTTTACATGTCTATTGGCTATCTGTATATCCTCTTTTGAGAAATATCTGTTCAGGTCTTCTGCCCATTTTTTAATTGGATTTTTGTTGTTGTTGTTGTTGTTGTTGTTGTTGAGTTGTATGAGTTCTTTATATATTTTGGATATTAACCTCTTATGAGATGTAGCTAATATCTTCTCCCAATCAGTTGATTGTCTTTTTGTTTTGTTGATGGTTCCCTTTGCTGTACAAAACCTTTTTAGTTTGGTGTAGTCCCATTTACTTTTACTTTTGTTTTCCTTGCCCAAGGAGATATATCTAAAAAGAAATTACTGTTAGCAATATCAGAGAGTTTACTGCCTATGTTTTCTTCTAGAAGTTTTATAGTTTCGCATCTTACATTTAAGTCTTTAATTCATTTTGAGTCTATTCTTGTATATGGTGTAAAAAGGTGGTCCTTTTTATCTGTCCAATTTTCCCAACACCATTTATTAGAAATAAATTTATGTATCATCCTTGTGCAGGGGCCATGCTAAGCTTCTTTGTATTGTTTTATTTTTTTTTAGTATATGTGCTGCCGAAGTGAGCACCATAATTATCTTTTTAATTTCTTCAGAAATTCCTAGTAAAAATGAACTGAAGTAGAAAAGAGAGTAGTTTTTTGACATTATACTGCCACATATTGTTTCATTACTTTTGCTAGTGAGGAGTTTCTTATTCTCATGAACTCAGAGAATATATTTTAGTTTATCCCTCTGTCCCTAATTTCAAAATGCCAACATAAATATCAATGTGATATAGAAGTAAGCTTTTTATTAACAACAAACTATTTTTTTTCTCCTGTTATGCCTACTTTTTAGACTATTTCACTTCAGGGTAAAATCATTTGGAAAGTTGTGCATGGTACATATGTTTGAAAACATTCATTTGTGTCTCAAGATATACTCTGCTTACTTCACCCTGCCTTCTGCCTGGGAGCTGACATGTATAATCTATATCAATAGGACTCCCAAGGCTTTGTCTTCTGTCTGGGTTCAAACAATGTTGAACACCATCAGAAGTTGGAAAAAGAGATAGTGAAGAGTGAGGGGTATTTATTCCTTCCACTCTCTCAGCCTGTTTGCCTTGAGCTGTGTGTCATCTTCCAACAAAGTTCACTGATCCTTTTAGTATGGATGACCTTATGCAATTCTCTCCTTTTTCTAGTTCTAGTAACTGTCTTTCCTATTGCTTCTTTGTCTTATTTGGTTGCATTTTGTACTGTGAGTCAGCAATGTAGACAGGGCTTAATAGGAACAGGTTTCTTGGGTTCATGATAACTGAGGCCTCCAATGAAAATTGAAAGACTCAGAAATAGCAAGTGACCAGGAAATGGATTATCTGAAGTCTTGTTCATTCTCATATCTGGTGTTTGAAACTCACTGTCAGCTGGAACTTCAGCTGTGCACTGGAACACCTTCATGGAACCCTCTAGATAGCCTGGACTTCTGTGCATTCAGTGACTGGACTCGAAATGATTGTGAGAGAAGAGCAGAAAAAGACAGAGAGAGAGAGCCAGAGACACAGAGACAGAAATTATTTAGCTTATTAGAAATTAAGCTCTACTCTTTTTTAGATTTAGCTTAAAAACTTAGCCTAGGTTTAGCTTCAGAAGTCTTGTAGCACTACTTCCACCCTATTCTTCTTATTGAGTCAGTCACAAAGTCCTGTCCAGTTTTAAGAAGAGGAGAAATAGATTCTAACTCTTAACTGGGGAGTGGCAAGATTCTTATGAAGGATACATAAGACCCCCCAATATTGTTACGGACATTTTGGACATTTTGGGAAATGTCCCAATTGGACATTTTGGGAAAACCTATTCAGCCGCAGACCTAGAGATGGTGAGTCTTTGTCTACTACTAGTCCGAGGTTCCAGTACTATCCCTTGTGGTTCTAAACTTTTGTAATAAACTCTCTTTGAATTATGTGTATTCAAATTGTTTTCTGTTTGTTGTTGTTGTTGTTGTTGTTGTTGGAAATCTAAATAGTAAAGTACACTATTTGAATACTGTTTGAAATTTAAAAAAAAAAAAGAACTATTTCATCATGATGAAGTAGTCATAGTTATACATACCAATCTGTAATCTTTTTAGTTATTAAGTTGAATTCTTTTTTGTTACTTGCAAATTAGAAAGAGAGTACAACCAAATTAATACATATCTCTCATTTAATAAACGGAATTCCTAAGGAACAAGTTAGAGAAACCTACTACTGTCATTTTTTTTCAATATTGTTTTGCAACTTCTGGCTGACATAAAAAAAAAAATAAGGAAAAATATTATAAAGTACCAGACAAAAAATTATATGCATATCTAGATGATAAAATCAATTATCTCCAAAGTCTAATATATAATTCTAAAATATGTGCCAAAATTAAATATAGAATTTTGTGAGATGTGACTCTTTTTACAATAACCATTTAAAATATAGTTACCAAATATTACTTCTGTGGTAGATTGAATGCTGCAATAACCCTAATCAACAGTCTCATTATATATACATGATTTGCAATTTGACTTTTTAGGTTCTCCCAAGAACCTAACATAGTTGCCACTATCTCCACTCCTTTAATCTGTTCCGACTGTGTGACTTACTTTCACCAAATGAGTATGATGAGAAACTGACATTAGCCAATTTCTAAAATCATTTACTTGACATATTTTTTAAATTTTCTAATTGATTTTAAACAGAAGGTTTTGGATAACAAGTACTCACTCTGTCATGATCAGTGCCCAAATAAATTTTTTTTAATTAAATTTATTGGGGTGACAGTGGTTAATAAAATTATATAGGTTTCAAGTGTATAGTTCAATAATACATCACATGTATATTGCATTTTGTGTTCACCAACTAAAGTTGTTTCTTTCCATCACTTGATATTTGACTTCCTTTTCCCTTACCTACCTCTCCCCTCCCCACCTTTCCTCTGGTAAACACTAAACTGTTGTCTGTGTCCATGAGTCTCTGTTTGTCTTGTTCATTTGTTGCTTTCAGTTTATATCCCTCACACGAGTGAAATCTTATGGTTCTCAGATTTTTCTGTCTGACTTATTTCTCTTAGCATGATAAAATAATGTTTTTATATCTATAGTATATAAAATACACTATAGTATACATATAGTATATATGTACAGTCATGTATCATGACAATAATGGGTCAAAAATAGAATGCAAAAACTATTTGCAACATACATAACAAAATACAGCTAATATAGCTAGTATACAAAAAACTTTTAAACTGGTGAAAATATAAAAAAATCTAACAAAATCAGGTAAACTATATATTAGAAAATTTATAAAAAGGCAAATAAATATTGTAATAAGGATGCAGACAATATTGTATTTCATTTGTAGTAAGTAAAATAAAAGAGTAAAAAACCACTTTTTAAAAATTAGCCCAGAAAAAACATAAGTGTGAATAAAAGTAAAAACTTATATGCTTTTTGAGGATGTCAAACGTAGACACCTCCACATATGACTGGTGAGACTTATGTTCCTCTTAACTTTTCTAAATTGAAAATAACCTGACAATATACATTAACATTAAAGGTATTCACCTTTTCAGTTAATAATGGTATATATGTGGAAATCTCTATATTAGAAACAAGTCATCAACATACAAAAGTATATGTACAGCAACATTTACTCCTGGAGTTATTACATTGGCAAAAACCTCAAAACAATCTGGATTTACACCATATGGACTATAGTTGAAGAGATTCCAATAAATGAATAACATACAATTATCTGAAGCTATTTAACTAAAGAAATATCCATTCATAATGCTAACTGAAAAAATCAGATTCAAAGAAATGCATAAACTATAACTAAATTACCTATGTTTGTGTATGATTTGTCAGCTGGAGAAATTTTTGAAGGTTACACAAGAGCTATTGACCTTTGACACATCAGGAGATCATTAGTGGAAGTGTGGAGTATGGAGTATTAATTTTTTAAAATATACCTTTGTTTCATTAGTCACAATAAACTACTTCTGTAAAGTTTAAATTAGTAACATGCAAAATTATTAGGATGTCAAAATCACATGAAAATAAAAAATAAAATATATCGTAAATGAAGAAAAAGCCAAATAAACCAAGTAGCAATTGAAAATATATTGCTTTATAAAGATAAGTACTTCAGAGATATCCCCTATCTCAGTCTGGTGTGTTAATTCCTCTAAAAAGTTAAGAATAACTTCTTCTAAAGGTGTCAAAGAAGAAAGCTGCATGACCAGGTAGTAAAATGAATGACTCTACTCTCTTTGAGTTCTAATACTGACTCTTGCACTTGTTAATTAGTTCTACTTCAGAAATGTAACTTCTCTGAATACAGCATTCCTGATTCTTCTGAAGAAATACAAAAATTTCAAAAGAACAAAGATAAGAAGAAAATGGGAAGAATCTAGTTCTAAGCTTTTAAAAAATGTTGAACGTGTCTTAAGATGAATAGAGAAAAATCTTGTAAATTTATAATTATAATACTTTAGAAATTATATAAGTAAATTTACACATTACAAAAGTTTAATATTGGTAGAATTAATATTTTAATTTTTAAATATTTTCTGTTTTTCAAGTTCTGTTATTATTTTACCTTAGTATATAAAACCTATTCAGTATATGGTCTCATATTTCATCTTAGCCTCTTTAGTTGTCACATATATAGGAAAGCAAAGCTAGAGATGTTGAAAAGTTATTAATTTGGTATTAGAAATTATGTGCATAAATGCAAGTTTAGGAATATCAGGCTAGAAACTTCCTTTTCCACAGAGATATACCATAAGCTGCTTAACAAGTGATACTGGAGAGTTAATAATACTTTGCTGCCTTGCTTAACAGGAAAGAGATAAAAAATTGAAATTTGATAAATGTAATTCCTCTGCTTTCTCTACTGAGACTCTGAGTTGAATACTGAGGACATCCAAGGACAGTTATGATTGCTTCAGTGAAGCAGAGCTCTCTACCCTAGCCCCATCTGAAAAATCTTTTATTAAAGAATGGCCCACTTATTATAAATCATTATTCCTGTTCATGCACTGTTAGGAAGAATGACAGTCTGTTCAAAGTGATACAAAGCTCAACGATTTCCTAAATCACAATGAAACAACAAAGGGTTCTTACAGAATATCCAGGCCAATTTTCTTGCACTCATCTCTATCATATAACAAGCTGGGACCAAACCAGTAATTATAGTCCAGAACCTTTTTAAGTTGAGGCAAAATTGCACATGTTAAAACATCCTTATATTTTACAAGTTTTGGTGAAGCATTTCACATGAGAATAAGGGTATGCAAGTTATTCTTTTCCAATATACTTAAAAAAATAATCTGAACAAACATAATATGTTAAATACCTATTTTACTTTGTCAATATACTGTCAGTAAACGTTTTACCAAACTTTTTCATACCCTAGGAATTATTATATTCATGTTTCATATGATTATCAAACAATAAATTAATATAAACATATCTAACATTACCAAATAAATTAGTCACTAGTTTTTTCAGATCTTGTTATCTAGTATCTGTTTATGAGTTCTCTTTTCTTATAG